TTCTCCTGCGGCCAAATATAGAACTGATCTCATGACCCTTAACATCACAGGTGTAGAGACAGCCAATTCACTAATGCTGTCCTCTCGTGAGCTCTCTCAAGCTTGTTAAGAGAGCTAAATCCCTCCCCATGCCCTTTTCACCAAGGTTTTCCATTATTGAGTTATATAGGTGTTTCTTATAACTCTCACTCCTCTTAGCCATAGGCTATATCAGGGGTCCTCAAACTTTTTAAACAGGGGGCCAGTTCACTGTCCCTTAGACCATTGGAGGGCTGGACTGCGGGCTCTGGGACAAGTTGGCTGCTAAGCAGGACAGGCAGTGGCAGCAAAAACACCCAGTGAGCCGGATAAATGTCCTAGGCAGGCTGTATCTGGCCCATGGGCTGTAGTTTGAAGATGCCTGGTACAGACTGCTACAAACACCTTTGTCTTTGTCTCAAGAAGGATCAGGAAGGATGGGTCCTAAGGAAGGATAGGGGAGAGATCCACATACAATGTAGGGAGGTGTGAGCATAGCTGCCCAAAGTGGTCTGCTGTGCACTTGAAACATGGTGGGTGTGACTGGGGGGGCTTGAATTTTTAATGCCATTATTATTTTAACTAAATCTACATTCGAAACCTGGTACTTGATTCAGTTAGTGAAGACTTTCCTGTGTTTTTGGAACAACTTGAGATACATAAACACAGGTTGGGTATTTCTGAGGAAAATTTTGTGTTCAAGTTGAGATATGCAGTAAGTTCATCTGATTTTGGAGACTTAGTATAAAAAAAGAATGTTAGTAATTAATGTTGAAAACATGTTGGAACCATACTTTTGTGGATATATGGAGTTAAATAAAACATGTTTGTGTTTTTTTCCCCCTTTTTAGTAATTTGGCTTCTAGAAAGTTTAAGATTATGTGGCTGGACAGATCTTTTCATTGGATGGTGCTGGTAACACAAGGCACTCTGGGAGCCCGGAAGGCTAGCCCAGAAAAGTTGATGTCTTAGCCAAGCCTTTCAGGATGGGTTAGGATGTCCTGTGTTGAGAAAAGGCAGATGGAAGGAGGGCATGTGGAAGGGTAGAGGTAGAAACACCATGGCACATTTAGGGACTCACACTACAGTGTTTGTGAAGAATCAAATGTGATTTGGGGAGTAGAAAGAGTTTGAGGATAGTGCCTGGTGAGAGATAAGCTAGAGATGAGAGTTGGGGTGGGCACCTAAAGGCCCTGGCATACCCAGCTGATGAGTGTAGGTTTCTTTTTCTTTCTTTCTTTTTTTTTTTTTTTTTTTAATTGAGACAGACTTTTACTTTGTCACCCTCGGTCAAATGCCACGGCATCATAGCTTACAGCAACCTCAAACTCTTGGACTTAAGCGATTTTGTTGCCTCAGCCTCCCTAGTAGCTGGGACTATAGGCGCCAGCCACAACACCTGGCTATTTTCTCGGCACCCTAACCACTGAGCTATGGGTGCCCCATGAGCCTAGGTTTCACACCAGGGGTGCTGGGGAGCTGTAGAATGGCTATGAGCTGGGTGTGACAGGGTCAACCCTGCATGAAGGGGATCGTAACAGTGGCTCAGGACTTGGTGGGAGCTCAGGGCAGACACTTAAGATCAGCCCTAAGGGGCTGCTAAACAGGATGTACAGGGCCCAAAGGAGTAAAACAGATTGGTGTGTTTGGAAACACCATCAGTTTAGCTTGGCAGTGCTGTAAAAGTGGATTATGTGGCAAGAGATGAGTTGGAAGGTCAGGTGCAGAGAGATTAAGTAGGATGATGGTAGAGACCAAAAGAGTTTACCCTGGATAAAGTGGAGAATGCAGACTTGTGAAAGAGTTTTGAGTGAGGAGGGACAGTGCCGGTCATGACTGAAGGTCTCTCTGGGACTGTGTCAAGTTACTAGGTGCCAAGATGCAACGGCTTAGATAAGAGATAATAGTGCAAGTGCTTATTACTGCTCTCCAGTGAGCTCTTCATCATGTGCTGGCATTTCAGTTTGGAGTCCTTTAAAAGCAGGCTCTGAAACAGGGATTCAAGTACAAGTTGTATCCTTTCAGGTATCTTTAGAGGCAGGGAATGAATGACAATCAGGGCAAGGGAGGCAGCCAGCCAGGATGTGTTAATAGGTCGGCTTCCCTAGTGGGCAGCTGAAGTCTAATTCTGTGGAATGCCATGGAGAACAGCCTGAATGTGTGCTTGAGTCATCCTCCTGCAGACATAGGTTAATGAAGCACAGAAAAATTAAATAACCTGTTTGAAGTCACATAGCCAGGAAGCAGCAGGGCTTGAAGGATGAGGCCTGCTCTGGGGCAGTGGCCGTATGCAGGCAGAGAAGGGGACAGGGCTCAGAGCCTTTGCAGAGGTGCCATCAGTGGGTCTGAGGTTGGTGGGGCAGGAGCAGGCAGGCCAGCAGGGTCAGCCACACCCAGCCATTTTCATTCTCAGCTCGGAAGCAGCTCCCGAAACGGACAATTAAGGATGTCCTGGAAGAGCAGAGGGAGGACAAGGACAGAGAAGCCAAGAAGAGGAAGGAGGAGGAAGGTGAAGCACTGAGAGGTAGGAATTGTGTTTGTGTATATGAGGGCCTAAGAGAGTTGATGTTTGGACCCATCTGATTTGGTGCCTGTGTCTCCTCAGTCAGAATTCCATGGACTAATGCTTTTGTTGTGAAAGCATTTTGGAATACATTTGTTCAGTACATTTGTTTTGCCATCTTAATTCAGTATTACTTCATGTCCACTTTCCCATTTTTATCTTCCATTTTTATACTTATGTAATGGAAAATATTTTCCTCTAAATGATTTTTGTTTTTGCTTGTAAATTTCACCAAAAAGAAGTTATTCCTGAACTTTAGGGTCTTAGTAATTTTTTCATGGCACTCCTAGGCCAGTACTGTAGCAGTTCCTTTTATTAAGCAGTTATGTCCAAACAACTATTAGATAATATACATACATTGAAAGAAAAATTAATTGCATTTTGTTCTTAAGTAACTAAAGTTACTTACAAATGGGATGCCAAACATCTCAAGTTATGGAATCCCGTTGAAAATTGCCTACCTTCATTGCCTGTTCCATGGTGATTTTTGCACATTGCTTGATTTTTATAACAGCAACCAGAGAATACTCAGCTTTGCAGAGATACAAAGTCATGGCAAAGAATGTGATCTGACACTGAAAACTAAAATGTCTGTAGCTAGCAGTTCATGCAGTGTCCAACAGATGTCGCTGGGTTTCCTTTGAAAATTTAAGGAAATGTTCCTCACAGTGCCCCTATGAGAGTTCCCTGCCTTTTGGTACACATGTGGGAAACAGCCATAAAGGTCTGATCCATGGATCATTTGGGGCCTATGTGAGATTGTATCAGTTGCAGGCTTTGTCACTGTCAGGTTTTTGTTTGTGTGATAGAAAATCCTCATTAGGCTCAGTTTTCCCAGGATAGATTTGAATTTAGTCAAGATTTGATTTCTTGTTGGAAATTTTTAATTGTAAATCGTGCAGTTTTAGCTATTGTCATTTTTGAGGGTAGTGATAAGCAGGAGTGACCTCTTTCCAGTAAGGCACATTTTTGCAGTTTGTATTGTTACTCTTGCAGTATGGTTTTTTCAGTTCTTAAAAACTTTATTTTTTGTCTCTAACAAGCTATCACATGCATTTAGAACCCTTTCAAATTCTATTATAAAGTGAATAATCCTAAAGGAATAGTTTATAAGCAAAGACTGACCTTTGTATTTATTTCTCACACTGCACAGACAAATGTGCAGTTTGGATTCCTTCAGAGGGCCCCACGGGGCTCAGAGTTGTGCAAGAGCAGGGTCTCGTGCCTCCCATCACTTTGCAGACGTACTTGATTGTTACCAGAAAAGAACAAGGAGGGCCAGAATGTCTCTGGAGTCTAAATGTTCTTGGGGATCAATGTGATCATCCGATTTTTCTGTATGTCAACAGAAGCAGAGACACCAAGAGAAGGCCTCACAGAGGCTGAAGTGGCAGTGAAAAAGGAAGCAGAAGGTAGGGACTGGCTCCCAGCACCTCCCAGTTCCTTAGAGACCCAGTGAGATTCTGATCCTCTTCCTTCCCCCAACCCCATCTTCCTGATTTTGAGGTCAGATTATTTTTTCTGTTTAAGAAATGGGGTCTCCCTGTGTTGCCCAGGCTGATCTTGAACTCCTGACCTCATGCAGTCCTCCTACCTCGGCTCCCAAAGTGCTGAGATTCCAGACATGAGATACTATGCCCGGCCAGGTCAGATACGTTTGGAGGATAGTTCATTTAAACAGGGCATAGATCCTCAAACTTACTGTTTAAATGTAGAATCTAGAAGAATCATAGGTTTTATTATTGTTATTGGTTTTTTAAAAACCATGTATGTGGGAAAAGAAGAAAAAGGCAATCATTTTCCAACAAGTATTCATAGCTTTTATAAATTATAGGTGCATATTAAATGTTATTAGTTGAGCAATAACTTATTAACTAAGCTGAGGTATGGGATTATTAGTTAATAATTTATTAAGCAATAATTTAACCAAGCTGAGTTATGGGATTTTTGAGGTTGGGCTATTGTCTCAGACCATAGAATGACTCCTGGGTCCAGTTGTCCGTGAAACCTTTCAGTTGGAAATAGCACTTGTAGGGACAGTTTTAGGTATGTAGAGTTTGTATGTGTATCTGACTTTTCTGCAACTGCATGAGTGGAAATATTTTCTTCCAATCACAGGGAGACTTCTTTTTACCACTATTCCTAAGTCTACAATTTCAGGCCAGATGGTGGAATTCCATTCCTTAGTACCAAGTAGTGAACATCAAATCCGGGATGACTCCTCAAAACTTATGTGCTACAGAAAGAAAAAGGACAAAATTGGCTATATTTTTCATCTGTGTGGTTAGAATGGCTGATGGGGTTAATTTTTAAAAAAAAGTATTGAGGGTGAACCTATTTGCATTATTGTCTAACATCTCTCTTTAGAAGCAGAAAAACCTAAGGAAAGGGTTTCAGAGCCCAAAGTGTCTGTGAAGCAGGAAGCACAGGAGGATGATGCAAAACCTCCCTCCAGAGCTCTGAAGACACTCAGCAGCTTCTTCAGTGAGTTTCCCTTCCTCACCTCCCTGGGGTGGCTCAGGCAGGAGGTGGGTGAACCTCGCTCCAGAGGGCTACAGTCCCTTCTCACTTTCCCTTTGGTTAGAAAGTGGACCTCATCTCTCCTGGCTTGTTATCCATCTCCCTAAGCATTAGGCAGTGATAGGTGGAAAATGGCTGAAAGGGTGGGGGCTACTGGAAGGAAAAAAGACCCACCATTTCTTGGTTTATTCCCAGTCCCCCGGAAGCCAGCTGTCAAAAAAGAGGTGGAAGAAGAGGGGCCACAGGCTCCAGGAAAGGAGGGCACGGAGGGGTGAGTCAACATCGGGCCTAGAAAATGTTTTCTGAGCATGTTCCTTCCCTGCATTCCCACAGCTTTAGTCCCAGCTCAGGCTGCCTCCTCTTTCAAAGTATGGCAAACCATTTTCTCTAAAGGGCCAGATAGGAAATATATTAGGCTTTGTAGGCCATTTTTGGCCTTGATTGCTCCCAGACGTCGTAAAAATAGTCCAGGAGTGGAATGTGCTGACCCTTTACCCTAGCTCCTTCCCTGAGCCTGCCTGGCCTCTCCAGTCTTTCTTCCTCAGTCTGACCCCCACAGTGCCTGAGTAATCTTTCTGATATGCTCTAGTTGACTCTGCCCCTCTGATGGCTTCACAGTGCCCCCAGGACAAAATCTAAGCTCTTTTGGCCACTGGCCCATGCCCATCTCTGGTCTCATGTCTCACCTGTGTGTTCCTATCATGCTGAACTCACTAGATTCAGATTTGAAAGCCAGCAGGCACTTCTGCTCTGTGGTGAACTTTGCTGGATGCCTCTCTGGACCAGCCTGGACAGCCCATGGGGATGAACCATCGAGAGCTGTCCTGCCCTGGCCCTTGCGGTGCACACAGTGTATTAACCATTCTGGGACACTATAGGTTTTGAAACAATTTTATTGTAAATGTGTTAATTATTTGAAGAGATGTCTGGGCCAGTTCCCATGACACCTGATGGGTAGTATACAGGATGTTTCACTGACAATTGGTTGGATGATTGGATGGATGGATGGATGGATAACATAAATATTCTATAAAGTAGTGAGATCAGACCCCATTCTTGCCTTGCTCAAAACTTGTCTGTGATTTCCAGCACCCAGGATAAGCACTGCGTTCCGCAGAGCCCTGCCCACCTCACATTATAGTCTTCCTGCAACAGGGCTTCTCCTTGCTCCATCAGCACCATTTCCTGTCACACCTCCCACTTCTGAATGTGCTGACCCCTGCCTAGAACACTATTCCCAGCCCTTTCTGCCCAGCATTCTTCCTCAGGCTCCTGCTTCAATTATACCTGCTTGGGGAGGCCCATCACTGTTATTAGAACAGTGCGTGGCATGACACGTAGTGGCTATACATTCCTCCCTCCATTCACACCAGCCACAGTGATCCCTTTTCCTCGTGTCAAGGGGGTCTCCGCCTCAGGGCCTTTGCACTTGCTGTTCCCTCTACCTAGAATGCTTTTCCCTCTGAGAATGCTTGCCTACTCTGCTCACCCCGTCCTCATTCTGCTCAGATGTCTCCTCTCAGGCCTTCCCTGACCACCCCCCTGAAGCAGTACCTCCTATCCTGTTCCCTCCCTCTCCTTGGCTTTATTTTGTTGTAAGAACATTTATTTTAACTCCTAAAATATTTGTGTGGTTTTTCAGTTTTTCTTTTTTCTGACTCTCCCACTGGAGAGTAAGCTTTAGGTTAGCTGATATTTTTTTACATTCACGCCTGTGCCCTTGTGCCTTGAATAGTGCCTGGCACATCATAGTTGGAAGAGTGATTTCTCCATGGTCTACCTGGTTACTTTCTTTTTGCCTCCACAGACCCCTGGACCCAACCATCTACAATCCTGCCAAGAACAACTACCATCCCATTGAAGATGCCTGCTGGAAACCAGGCCAGAAGTGAGGCTTTTCCCTCCCTAGCCTGCCAACTCCAGCCTCTGTTATTGTGGGGGGCTTTCAGCTGGAGCTTTGGTTAGAGGAAATGGTCAAGCCTCTCCCTCCAGTGTTTTGGGGACAGAGTCAGCTATCACAGCATTGAAATGTGATAGCATTGAAAGGGTCAGAGAGACAGCTCTGGGCAGTGAGCAAGGTTGCTGTCATGCATTTGGGTATTTGCAGTGCTGTCCCCAGGGAGGTATGGAGAAGCAGCATGGAGGGGGGACAGTATAGGCGGTACACATGGTTCTTTGGTCTCTTTTTCTTCCCCAGGGTCCCTTATCTTGCTGTGGCCCGGACCTTTGAGAAGATTGAGGAGGTTTCTGCTCGGTAATTAATCAGGCCTACCTGGGTGGAAGTTAATGTCCATGTCCCTGGCATGAAGGTCATTGTTGCCTGACCCTCTCTACCTTGCCTCTCCCCATTCTCCTTTTACTTAGCCACAATGTCATGAGCCACAGACATGGACACAAGAGTAACTGCAAGTCCTCTTGACTTTCTGCCTCATTCTCTCAGTCAAAGCAAGACATAGGGTGAGCCCAGATCTGTGTGGTACAGAAATAGGCTTCACCTTGGTCTGGCTAGAACTGCAGAAAGTGTGTGATCATTTTAAATCAACCCTAAGTCATTGAAGGTATCTTTAGTCTTGCTTCTGTGCCTCTGTGTTAGTGAAAGGAAGTTGGGTGTTAGCTATAGCAAGGACCCCCTTCTTTGTCACAGAGGTTCCCCCGCAGATTCCCCACTCCCAGGGGTTCCTTCTGCTGTCTGGTCCTGGTTCTTCTCAGCAACACATTAGCATCACTGGTCCATACCCAGCTTCTTTCTTCACTGTCCCCAATCCTGTGCCCTTGCCTGTCTTTCCCAGCCTAGCATTCACCCATGTGTATTTAGTTTACGTAAATATTATCATGGGGCCCACTTCATTCTGCTTCGTACTTGTATTGTCAACCTCATTTTCACATCTTTCCATGTTGGCTGAAGAAGAACCCAGCTTGTTTTAACTGCTTTGTAGTATTTCTTCAATTTCCTATATCATGTCATTTTTCAGTTCCCCAACATTGATGAGACATTTTAGACTGTTCTCAGTCTAAATGCTTTATTTTTACAAATGTGTCTCTTCGAACATTGAAGAAACTTCCCCTGGGGTATAAGCCCCATAGTGTGTGTTTGGGGTAAGTCACAGGAGGTTTTGGAAGGGCCTCACATGCCAGTCTAAGGGGCTTGATATCCATCCTGTGGGCAGCAGCTGAGTGAGGGCCTTGCCCTGGGGACAGACCAGTCTGAGCATGAACTGCACCCAGCTCTCCTATTTCCCAGCTGTGTGTCCAACCCCTCTGAGAATTGAGTTTCTTCCTAAGTAAAATTATACGTCTGTCATCTTAAGTTTGCCCTGTGGAATGTGAAATTACTAGGTACCACAATACAGAGTTTAGTTTCAGGAGAAACTCAGAAATCATCAAATCACCTAATTCAAGAGAATTGCAGAACTGTCCTAACGGTATAATTCAGAATTGGAGGGTTTTATTATTTCTTTGAAACATGTTCGAAATAATTTTAGACTTAGAGAAAAATTGCAAATATGGTATGGAGTTCCCATGGGCCCTTAAAAGATATCAGCTTTTGGCTCGGCACCTATAGCTCAACGGGCTAAGGCGCCAGCTACGTACACCTAAGGTGGCAGGTTCGAATCCCCAGCCCGGACCCGCCAAACAACAATGACGGCTGCA